ATTGCCTATTACAAACCCATTTTATGTTACACACAATATTACGTGCACGAGTGAATGTTTTTTGGGCAGAATAGTTGAGTGAAATTGGATAGACCTAATAAATATATTTTTAAAAAATTGAAAGATATTTACATATAATAAGTTAGTAAATCCGCGATGTGGTTCAACACTTTGTTCCACAAATGATTGCAACTCAAAAGATGGCGAAGGAGAGGGAGTCACCTCAGTACCTTCAGGAGTAATTGCTCTCCAAGGACGAAGTGGATGATATGTAGAAGAAATACGCACTAAATTTTAGTTTAATTAATTTTTGATTAAATCAATTGTAGACCCGAAAAGATTTTTAAATTATACTCACTAGGTATTTGGCTCGAAATTGATGTAATATCAGCCATTAAAGTTAACCCAGCATTGGGGAGATATGCCCATTTGCCTGTTCTCTCTGGTTTCTGCATATCAATTAATAATTTTTGTAGATCAACATCGGTCAAACGTCCATCACATTTATAAATTGGACAATTCCGAATGCAACTATTTTGGACTGAATAACTTCCACCATTTGTAAGTGACGGAAAAATTGGTCTGGAAGGTCAAAATTTACTTAAAACAACAATAAGTTAAATAATTACGTTGCTGTCCAGGCAAAAGTTGTTTTCAGATGGCTAAGGCGTAAAAAGGATGCAGAAATAGATTTCTGTATTTTTACTGATGTTTTAGCATCTATTGAATTATTAGGCTTTGTATAAATATCAGCAGGAATATCAGAGAGAATTCTTTCAACAATAGCTACCAAATATAAATCGGGACGAGGATTTTGAATTGAACAAATTATCTAAAATATTTTACAAAAAATTTTTGATAAATTTAAATTACTCTTTCTGCTGATTGTATTTTTTGTCTACTGATTCCGTGAACTCTTCCATTATGTTGTTTTGATGAAATGACTACCATAGAATTACTATTTCGTAACTCAGTGTACCTTTGAGTTGGAATTTCAATATGAAATTCTTCAGAAATTCTACTGCCTTGACTTGCATCAAAAAGGAAAAGACGAAGAAAGAAAGGTTCAATCTATGATTATAAAAAAATTAAAAAATAATTACACATATTTTGAAAATTTTTAGTTAAAATTTAATAGAATTTTACAATTAAACAAATTCCCACCTGTTCAGGTGCATCTCGGCACGAGAAACGAGCCTTTAATTCAAACTGTTTGACTTTCGCAGTAAAGAGTAACTCAGACTTTTCTCCAAACAATTCGAAATGAGATGGATCTGGACTTGATTCCTCTCTATTAACAAGAGACACAGCCGTCACATTTAGTGTTGATGTAGATCCAGTATCATCAGCAGAAAGCAAGGAAAGTGACTTTTTTGGTTGTAATTTTTGTGCCGACATTAGGGGGAGAATTTGTCGAACACTTTTTGCATTATTCAATTCATTTTCATCGAGAGGTTCAGCTAAAGGGCTATTTTCGGCATTTGAAGGTTCATGTAATGGCTAAACATTTTTTTCGAATATTCTTAATTTCTACTATCAAAACTAACCTCCAAATCCCAATAAAGAGCGAATAAATTATTTCTTTCAATAATTGGTGGCCGAAGAGCTTTTGCAGCCGCATTTTTTCCTCTCCAAAACGAAATTGAATCGCGAACTAAAAATTAATTTTAGAATAGTGAAAGACAAAAATAGCCTTTTTAATAATTAAAACCTCCAACACTATCTTCGCTTGCTAAACTTTCAGAGTCATGAGAAGAACTTCCTGCAGTTGGATACGATGCATTGGCAGAATTTTCACGAAGAGACGAATTAAGTGAAGCACTATCTTCCGAGGTTATTATTTCTATGAAAAATTTTTATTATTAATTTCAAAAAAAATTTAAATAAAAATTAAACCCTTATTCTGCTTTGTAGCAATTGCTCTATCAATTTCGAAAAGCCAAAATTGAAGATCAGATTCATTTTCAGCAGAAAATAGAAGAGTTCGTTTATCAGAATCGACAGAACAAACCTTAAAATATTTTTAAAATTCTAGTAAAAATTTTAAAAAAACTTGAAGTGTTTTTCCTCTTTTAGTTCCCTTTATTTGCGCCGATTTAATTTCCAATGCAGGAAATAATTGTTGTGTAGTATTTTGTTTGTAAACTTCAATAAAAACTTTACAGTCATCCAAACGGCGAAGGATGCAATAACGCTTCTTTTCACTCTTAAAATGTAACGTGTCGTGCTAACTCAAGGAACGGACAAGACAGTGAACGACAAGTCACGGAATTACCAAAACAAAGAATATTTTAAAAAATAAGACTTTTAATCAATTCGAATATTTTAGAAAACAGAATTTAAAAAAAAATTCTGAAAAATTCTGATTTCTAAGAATATTTTGATTTTTGAAATATTTCGCGATTTGGTCGTTTTGATTTGGTCGTTCCGTGAATTGGTAAGACATTGACTTGTCTGTTACGTGATTAGGAATTCCTTGAGTTGCTCCTCACCCGCATGTAAATTTTTTATAAAAATTTAAAACTTACTTTGAAACTGTCAACAATACTGTCCCCAGGCAAAACAACTAAATTTCCTTCCTTAAGTACTTCATTTGACATATTCTGTTCTGCAAATTGCTAAAAATTGACAGAAAATATTTAAAAATAATTTTATAAAAATTCTCAACAAACCAATTTTTCTTCGTCCAAAATAATATCAGATTCAAATCGTAAATAACTATTTAAAGTTGGAGCAATAAATTTTTTGAAATCTCCAGCAAATTTTAAATAATTAAAATTTATAACAATGTAAGGAGAACAATAGAATTTGAGGGCATCTTTTGCCAATAACCAATTGGCTTCTTCAATATGTCGAGTTTTGATTGAAGGAACGGCTGTTCTCTCGCGAGGATAAATTTCTGAGCCCTGAAATTTTTGGAAAATAGAAAATTTTTTTAAAAAACCCACAGAAACATCATCACGAAAAAATAAAAGCATATCCCTATCTCTGTCATTTTCAAGTTGAGCACTCTTTTCTGTAATAAATTTTTCGTAGTCAATAGGTTCCGATATTGGAGGAGGTCTCTAAAAAACAAAAGAAAATTAAAGAAAAAACAAAAACAAACAAAAGGATTTGCATTTGCAGCATTTAAAACTCTTGAAATTGCCTCACGCGTTTCTCGTGCTTGGCCTGGTTTACTTACAGAAGAAGTAAATCTAAAATAAGAAATAAAAATGTGACAAAAAATATTTTCAATACTTTCTGAAATTTTGTTGTCGATTTGCCTGATTTACAGAAATATATCCCTTTTGCCGTAAATGCTTTTGAGAAACATGATCCATTAAAGTAGAGCTGCCCCCACTAGAAGTTGAGAGCATAGAATTACGCTCATTATGTTGACAATTGTTTTTAGAAAATCGAGGAGATGAATGCATTATTTAAATTTTAAATAAATAGAAATGAAAATCTAAAATTTATAAAACTAGGATTTAGTAGTTCCAAATCTGTCCTGAATAGTGTGCGGCACGGGACAGGATCCCGTACGGGATTTTACTGGATCCCGTCCCGAAATCCCGTATTTTAAGCGACGAACGGGATTTACGGGATTAATTCCGCGGGATCCCGTCCCGAAAAATAAAAAAAAATAATTTTAATTTTTCCTATTTTTTACTCAAGTGTCGGTCCGCAAATTTTGATCCGCAATTTGAATCCGCAAATTTTTAGTCCGCAAAATTAAATTAAGTCAGTTCTTGACTTAAAAAAGCATCTGCAAATTTTCGAAGTACTAATTTTTTGTGACATTTTGTTTACAAAAGATGGCTTCGGGCAGTCGAGTGCCTTATCGTGATTTATATAATAAACTCAATAATGATGATTTGAATTATTTGATTGAACATTTAAAATCTTATTTATTTGAAGACGTTGAGTTTGATTTAAATTTAATGTATGAAAAGGCTTATAAAATGGTTTGTTTTTCTTATAAAATTTAATCTAATTAATTAATTTAGGTACATAATGGACATTCTGATTATTTATATGCAAGTATTCGATCATTGCTTGTTGAATATATGGATAATTTGGTTTGTCTTTAAAATTATTTTTAAATGTTTTTTTGGAAAATGAGTAATTTTCTGTACTTTTTTATTTCTTTTTTCCATCCAAATAACTTAAATTAGTCATTTTATTTTCTAATTACTCATAATTTGGTTGTTGGGGATGTTAGATCACGTAAATTTAAAAAGGTTAATTAAACGATTTGTAAATTTTTATTGGTAGAAATTAATTGAATTTTTAAAAATCTCATTAACTCTAAATTTTTTAGGCCAGAAAGCTTGAAGATTTTAAAACAAATAATTTTTTGATTGCTCTGAATGATTTGTGGTTCGAAATATTGAAGAAAGCGGTTTGTGATTTTTAGAAATTTTTGATTTGAAAATATTTTTATAATTTTCTTTAGGAAGTTGTTCGCGATGTTCTTTTATATTCTGAACGTGTATTTGAAACATCTGTTACTGGGGGAACAATTACTCATTTTATTTGGAATATTTTTTGTGAAACAATTTTAGAGAATAATAAATTTGAAAAATATTTTGAATTAAAAGAAGAAAAATATGAAGAGGTTTTTAGTGAATTTTAAAAGAGTTATTCAATTTATATAAAATTTTGTAGGTTCAAAAGAAATGTTCTTTGGCAAAAGATATGAAAATACTAAATTTAATTAATATTGAAAATGATATTAAAAGGTATGTTGTTTTAAATAATTTGTTGCTGGATATACCTAATTAGCTTCCAATAATTATTTACCTTGAAACCTTGTATTAGTAAATGGAGGTAAAGAATAATAAACTTTTGGTTCCTTGTATGTTGTAAGGATCTTTACCTGAAATTAAATAGAAAAACAAACAAAAAAGGGAGGATTTGCTTATAAATATCAAGAGCAAAATATTATATAACCGGGAGGTGTTGGAATTCAACCACCACTTAAATTTTAATTTTTTTCTTTCAGTAATATTTTAAATATGGATTGTTTATTGGATGTTTTCTCTTTTCTATCAACCTCTCAAATTGTCAAATTCTCGTTAATTTCAACCCAAATGTCAAAATTTTGTGATTATTTATTAAATAAAAGAAGTTTTACTCTGTGCCCAATAAAAATAAGTAAAGAATGGAGAAATAATTTTTATGGAATTTATCAATTAAATTATCCTCGGAAACGTCTTGGAAATTTAACTTTGCCTTTAGAATCTCTTCCTGTTTGGATTAATGGAATTGAAATGATGCAATTTATAAGTATGATAATATTTGATACATTTTTTAAAATTTAATTAATATTAATTAATTAATGAGAAGCTGGGGAGGCCTTTTTTGTTATAAAGATGGGGGGAAGTCAATTCCTTTGAATTCAGTGGAAGAAGAAGAAAAAATTGGATTTTTTTTTATTTTTCGGCTACTTATTAATTAGGATTGAGTTAACTCTGCGGGGAGTTCAAAAATTTAAAAATTTATTTTCTTTTAAAATAAATTTTTATTTAATTTTCACCCTTATCTCTCCCTCTAATATTTTTTGAAACTTTTCTAAAAAATATTAATTTTTCAAAATAATTTTTTATTTTTTTTTCAGACCCAAATATTGATTGTATTGAATTTCTGTACTTATTCAAAAATTATTTAAATAATTGCCATCTTTTATTTGCCCAAACTTCAATTTGGAAAAATTTACACGAAATTGGACAACTTTTTATATTTTTCAAACTTTTTAATAATTTTTGTTTTTCTTTTGAACAAAAATTGGAAAATAAATTTTTTGACAAAAAATTTGGAATTATGGGAGAAATTTTTCCTTTTATGTTCCCTTTGTGGGCTATTTTTAATGGAATATTTTTAAAAGAATTGAGAGATATGGAATTTCAATTAGAATTTTTATATTTTAATGGTTCTTCTTTTTTGAAATGGTTACACCATCCAAGTAATGAAAATAAACCTAGAAGACTTAAATTATTTACTGGAAATAATGAATGTGGTAAAATTATTTTGGATATTTCTTCTTTAATTCAAAAATTAAAAGAGGTACTAATAATAATTATTTAATGGAGTAGGGGGTACTTCACTGTTAGTAATTTGTAAAAGAAAATTTTGCTTAAGCAATCTATATCTAGTCATTAAGGTTGGCAGTTCCGGGTATCCGAACCGAAAAAAGTGGATATCCGTAAACTTTCAATTGGATATCGGTTCCGAATACCCGGAGATTTCCCAAGAACCGCCCTTACTAGTCACACAATATCCTTTATAAACTACACCACTCAAACTCCAGTCTATCGTTTTATAATCTTGATCCTATTAATACTTATGTATAATAGACAACTTTATGGTCACTTACACCAAAATTAATTTCATTTTAAATTTTAAATTAAATTTTTTACAGCATTTTATGTTAGCTACAGAAAAGAGAATGTTCTACATTCAATTTCCTTTAAACAATATTGATCGTGCTTTATGGGGTGAATGGAATAACCAAATTGGAGAGAAATTTATTATAAATAATTGTCTAATTTCAAGACTTCCTTTGGAATATTCAAACAAGAAATTTGAAGATTTTTATGAAAATTTGAATTTGCCAAAAATAGAGATATTTTATCAAAAATAAAAGAAATTAATATAATTTTGTCCTAACCAGAGGTGTGTTGGAATTTCGATTTCCGCAGTTTCGATTTCCGACCCACCTCTGGTCCTAACAAATAACCTCAATAATTACACTAATCTTTTATGCTCAAAAATATTCTTACCTAAAAATAATCTCATAATTCTATAATTTTCTAGTCATGCTTATAAAATTTTTATAAATTTAAAAATACTTTTATTAAAGATCTTGTAAACAGATAAAGCTTTATTTTATTTGTTTTTTGTTCATGGGAAGAATTCATTACTGTATTCTCTCCCATTCTTTCGGTTGTCTTCTTAAAAATTACAATTGAGAGAATGGTTGATCATATTTTTGAAATTTGTATTATTGTTTTTTTATGTTCTCAATTTTGTGTAAGGTTTACAAAGTGTTTGTTTCCTCCCAGCTTAGTTAATAAAGCAAAAATGAAAAAAATTAGCTCGCGGAAATTTAGGTAATTTAACGACGCAAAGTTCATTTGCGAAACGGTCGACCACGACGGTGGGCGACAAACCACGACGATTAACCAGATTGTCTTGCAATAATCTGTTGCGCGACAAAACGACCGTTCAGAATTTTTTCTTGATTAATTTTATTTTCGTTTTTTGTGACGATTCGCGAGTTTAGGCCTCAAATTTTTAAGAAAATTGTTTTTTGAATTTTTACTAAAATTTCCTTTTGCAGACTTTTTATTTATAATTTATTGACGCATTTTATCACTTTCTCTTTTATTGATTATTTTCATGGCAACACCAGTTACTTTAAAAAAGGTTTCTTACAAGTAAAATAAAATGAGCTCAACTAATTGTCAGCTTGATGAGAAGAAACAGGCTGCTGAGAAACGACGTGAGAAAACTCAAAAAGAAGATCATTTACTTCCTTTAAATGGAATGGGGCCAGAGACACCTTATTCTCATTTGTTAATTAGCGGAACTCAGAATCCTGCGCCAAGGATGATGGATTTGCGTCCTTTGACCAATCAATTTATGGTTAATTTTTGTGTTATTTAAAATTTTTCTCAGATCTCTTTTTGATGTTTTCTAGAGAACGAGCTGGATCTAGATATTGATTTTTCTTAGATCCAGAGTCCAGCTCAGGGCATTATTCAGAGTTCCTTGATTTTTCCTTGACTGGAGGTCATGAATCTAGGCAAGGTACCCAATCGAAATCAAGGTCAACGTTTTTGTGAAAATCTCGCTCTCTAATGTTTTCCTTTTTTAAGACTATTTCGAGGACTAAATTTTTATACAAAATTCCCAAAAATATATTTAATTTATTTAGCAGTACCGTCAACGCAAAGAGGATTTTTCTGCTGATCGTCCGAGTGGTAAAAACTATACAAGCTTTGTCAGCAATGAGATTAATAGAAACGGCAACACTAAGAAGCAGCGAGGTGATGGTGGTGCTTCTGCACTTGAGAAGCAATTGAGTCAATTGGCTATTGTTGAAACACCGGCAGAACTTCCTGCTTTTGAATATATTTTGAAATCTAATAATTTGGTTTGCTTTCATGGAAAAGGACATTTTTTGAGCACTCTTTATCCGGTTAATTTTTTTATTAAATTTAAATATTTAACAACTTTTTAGGTCAAAATTAATGTCGACGGGCATGATTATCCATCAGTTGAACATTATTATCAGGCTTGCAAAATTTTCTCGTTGGTTGGCCCGGATCAGGCTCAATTGTTGCGTAATGTTTTGGATACTTTGAAGGTTAAACAGAAGGCTAAAGACATTCTTCGAAATTACCGTGTAAACAACCAAAAGGTTTAAAAGAATTTTATTTTATTTTTTCAAATATTTTTAAAGGTTGAACATTGGAAGAATACTACGGGATTGTTAGTTCTTCTCCATGGAATTCGTTTCAAGTTTACTCAAAACCAAGAAATGCGTGATAAGCTTTTAGCTACTGGAGATGCTCTTCTTTGCCAAGCTTATGACCGCGATGCTTTTTATGCTGTTGGAATGACTGAGGAAAAGCTTCGTGAATGGGCACGTGAAAATGAAGGAAAAATCTTGAAAGTTTTTTTTATTTTAAAGATTAAATTAAAAATTTAATTTAGTTCCCAAGTGACCTCGACGAAGACAAAGTTAAATACATTCCGTTGGTTGGGAAAGGGAAGAATGTTTTGGGTGTTCTTTGTATGCAGGTTTTTCTCTTAAAAGTTATTCAAAAATTTAAAAAAATTTAATTAGATTCGTCATTTGATTAAATATGGTGTTGGGCCTGTAATTGACAAGAAGAAGACTGCGACTGTTCAAGTAAAGGATAATAATGGGGCGGAAGACAAGTCGACAATTTCTTCTTTTGAAGAAGATGATGATGACCTTAAGAGTTCTGATGATGATTTTAAGAGTTAAATTTTTTGTTTTATTTAAATTGCCGACAAAAAAGTTTGCGCTTTTGGGATAAAAAAATCTTCCTCCAGTTTATTTTTAAAAAAATATTATTTTCTCTCCTCTAAATATCCTTCAAGACTCTATTTTTTAAACTTTATCAATTCTCTATACTCCATTTAAAATATTTGGTTTTCTTTTTAAATTTATTTAAAATACCACACCAAGTTTAGTTGGGCGCTTTTGACGGCATATGATTGTTTTAAATATTTTTGGAATTTATTGATTATGAGTATAAATATTTTTTGGTTTTATAAAATTGTTTTTTAAAGGATGGTTAATGAAACTAAAGTTCCTTCATTTTTTCTTTAAAATAGTTTTTATAAACCCGGGTAATTAAAAAATGTGAGGAAAGAGTAGGGAGGGGTTTTGACTTATTGGTAGTGAAGAATTTAAATTTTAAGTCTATCATCAAAACAAAAATGTCATTGAAATTAAAAAAATATCAAAATTACTTTCGAAAATTTATTTCAATTTCCATGGTCTCGTTAAATATTTTATAACAAATCGCAAATATTAAATTTTCACAATATATTAAATCGCAAATAACCAATTTAAAAAATTGTAAATACGACAAAATAAAAATACTTATTACATATTCAAATTAATTCCCTTCTTTTATGGGACCTGTGTTTGTTGTGCAATTCCATAAACTGTTCGAAGTAATTGCTAAAAAGAATTTAAAAATATTTGAATAAATTTGTACAAATTTTAAAAGTCTTACCAAACTATTTTTGTAACGAAGTTGTCTTTTCTGATTATAATCAAGCCAACTGAAGATATAATTTTTAAAAATTAAATTTAAAGAACCCCAACTTCTTTTTTACTCGTTTCCAGTGTCTTCTATATTCTTCAAGTGTTTTCTCTTTGCTAGTAATTTCCTCATTCGCTGGCGGTTCAAATCGCATAACTTTTTGTGGACGCGGATCCATTAAAGGTACTTCATGTAGAGGTGGAGGTAAAGCATTAATTTCTCTAGTTGCCATTAAATCCTTAAATAAAAATTTTAAATATTTTTTTTTCAAAAATTACCAAAGATTTGTTAAAATGTGGCTCGTATTCTTGTTCGTCTAAATATCCACTCTCTTGATCTAAAGGCTCGTCATCCTTTCCATACATCCATTTTCTACAAAGAGCATAAATACTTTCACTTCGACCAGTGTCACGCAAACCAAAAGGTTTTCCACGAAGTTCAAAAACAACGCCTTAAATATTTTTTTGGTACTTTTCCGTTATCCCTAAGGAATTTTTGCGGGCAATTTTTTCTTCCAATTTTGCGGAGAAAAAAGGCAATCAATTTATTCCCGTAACATTAAACCAAGTGTTAATGTTTGGTGTCCCCTCATTTGAATATGAAACAGGGAAATTTAGGAAGGAAATCAACCATCTCTTCTCTCCACAAAAAAGATCCGTAGGGATAACGGAAAAGTACCCAGTTTTTTATTTAAAATATGTAATTTTACGTTTTTCTCTTCTCATTTTTCTACTACGAATGCTTCCGCCTGTTTTCGAATCATATTCTTCATAAATATCGCTAAAAAGATTTTTGTTAAACAAATTAAAAATAAAAAAAATTACAGTTGATCTCTAGAATTTTGTAATTCATTAGAATTTGTTTGGCTACTTTCTCCTTTTCTAATTTGCCCAAGTAAAGATCCAAGACGACTTCTTGCCTGAACTTTGCTAGGAGAATCAAGAACATTTATTTGCTTTTGCCCTCGTTTTATTGGAGTTAATCTTGGCATAATAAATTCTTCGCGTTCTCCTTCAAGAGAATTCATTTATAAAATACTAAAAATTTAAATAAATAATTAATGAGAAAACGCCATGCGATTCTTCATTCCACTGCAAAATATCAGCCTTGTTGGCAAAATGTGACTTTGACAGAATATGGAATTGGCAAAATATGAAGCCATCAAAGAGGACCCGTACGATCCGTACCCGAGATCCCGTCCTGAAATACCGTGTTTTAAGCGACGAGCGGGATTTACGGGATTAATCCCGCGGGATCCCGTTCCGAAAATTTTTTTGAAGAAAATCCCTTTAAACCCCTTTCCGAGAATGCGATTTTACCGCAAACTAGGAGAGACTTCCCCATAAGGAGTGTGGCTTTAAAATTTTTAATTTGAAAACTCAGGAAAAGTTTTAAATTGATTGAAATTATTTTTGTAGATGTCACACAAACGATCATTAAATAATCCATTCTTTGGATGTATTTTAATTAATAAAGAAGAATTGGAATCACTTGTTCAAGAATTAAACGAGAGGTTTTCTTTATATTTGTTTTTTTAAAAATATCGAAAAAGTGCTTCCCCTTATTTTTCCTCAAGAGCAGAAAAATTCCGTCGTTTATCAATTTTTACAGGTGTATTAAATGCTTCGGTCAGAACCAAATGAATATGCTTTTTGCTATTAAATATAATCCTGACGATAAATTTATTTGGCAATTAGGAGTTCGAATTCATTGTTTTACGGTTTTATCTCTTTCTTATAGGCATACCAACTCTGTTATTTTACAGGTTCTTGACGAAAAACCTTATAGAAGGACCTACAATCTTTACCAATTCCTCAAATTTTATCAAACTACAATTCAAATTCTAGACGCTTCAGAAGCATCGACTACAAGTACATCAGATCCTTCGAAAGATTTTATGAAAATTGCTATTTTGGATGAAAGGTTCTTCTATTTTCATCTACCCTTTTGATTAAAATTTCTAGTTGTTATGTGGAAGACGGGCAATGCATAATTTGTTTCGATGCTCGTCCAGATGCGGTTTTACCGTGTGCCCATGCCTATTGCTCTTCTTGTATAAACAGCTTTTTGAGGATTAACCAAAAGTGTTGCCCTCTTTGTCGACGTCCTATGAAAGAAAATGAAGCTTGGGTTATGACAGAAAAACCAAGTAAAGAATGCATAAATTTATATTTAGTTGAATCCAACAGAGAAGGAACGACATCTGATTGATTTTTATTTAAAATGTTTTCTAATTTTTTTAAAGAATATAAAAAAATAAATATTTTTAAATAAAAATTGTTCCAAGTGCTCTTGTATACATAAATAGCTAAACCAATGACCCTCTTTAAGGCCACAATTTTAATAAGTGAAACTAGACAATGGTTTCTTCAAATTTTTTATAAAATGTAAAAATTTTCATGAATTTAATTTTTACAGTTTTGAGTTCTCGCGCCAGAACGACCATAACACCTCATTTCAAATTTATAGAACGACGAATCGAGTATATTTACTCTGTTGGACATTTTGAGTTGGGGCGAATACGTAGTTTTCTGCAGTGGGATTAATCCGCGGGGGACGAATACGAGTTTTGTTCATTGGGACGAAACCGCAACACGCTCAATCAGTTCCCAATTTTTGTTGTTTTTTGCGCCAGAATCTAGAATTTTAGCGCATTTTGAGAATCTTGTAAGTCAAATCTCATTTATGCTTGTGAATACTTTGTGTATTTCTACTTTTCTAATTACCCCTTACTATTATTTTCACTTAACTAAATCAATGTAGGTAACCTTTGAGTTGACTAGAGAAATTGATAAACTGATAATTTCTTTTTAGTATTTTTACCTAGTACACGCGTACTTGGAGATTAATTTTTCAGACAAAATACTCATTTTAGTTTAAATATCGAATTTAAATCGTTCACATTTTTGTCTTTTATGTATTTTTAAATCAACAAGTTAATGATAAGATTCTGGTTTTCTAATTATTCCTTCTCATTTTAAATTTAATGTTGTTTTATTAATTTTTATTTCCCATATGCATAATTTTTTTCTTGCCAAAAATTTTAAATTTCTAAAAAATAATTGTTTAAAAAGAAATTTTTGATTTCTGAATTTTTCTCGTAATTTTTAATATGACGTTAGCGTAATCATTTTATGTATTTCACTCATTTATTATATTTTTTTAAATTTTTGACTGACACTAGTCTTGTATTTGATCACCTTATATTTCCATAATTGAAAAATTATCAATTAAAAAATATTTTTTTTAATAATTCGTTTCCTTGCCAAAAATTTTAAATTGTCATTTTTAATTAACCATTTCTAGCTTCTCTGAAAACATTCCTTTTCCTTTTTGCTCAAATTTGCTCTTCACTTCAAAAATAAGCATCAAAATATAAAAATGTCTCAGCGTAAACAACAACCATCATCACGCGGTCGTAAGCGTCATCAAGATGCTGAAACATTCCAAAAAATGGAAGGCAAAACTTTGCCAGATGGTTTGGATTTGCAAGATGATTTGGATGTTGATGATGATCCTGGGACTTGGAGTGGCCATAAGAGATCCTTTGGTAATACTGTTAGTGCTGCACCAGAACAGATTGGAATTGAGAATATGCAGGTTTCGCCACGGTTATTTTTATTTTTAAATAAATTAATTAAACTCTCCCTTCTTCAAAGAACAAAGAAAATGAAACATATGAAGGATGTTTTGGGTGTTGGCGCTTCGTTGGTTGGTCAAGATCGAAAATTCTCTCCTGAAAAGCCTTTAGACATTCCATCAAAAGTTCAGAATGGTTTGGCTCTTAACGGACCTGCGCCTTTCAGTGATGAGCCTGAAGCTATTGCTACGAGGGAGGCACTTGATTATTCCACTCAAGTTACTCACGAAATGGCTAAAAATAATACCGGTATTTTATTTTTTAGAATGTTTTTAAAAGGTATTAAAAATTTCTCTTAAGCTGGTCGTCCAATTCGAGTTTTTGCTGATGGCATTTATGGTTAGAAGAATACATATAATTTATCTTTTCTAAATATTTAGATCTTTTTCATTATGGCCACGCCAATCAATTGCGACAAGCTAAGAATGCATTCCCTAATGTTTATCTGATTGTTGGAGGTTTTTATAATTATTGTTATTTGCATGTAGGGCCCATAGCCAGAAAAAATGTTCGGGAGGTGGGAGGTGGGGCTACGGGTTTGTGTATGGCCTTTAATTATATTGATGAACAAAGCTAAATTTGTCTATTTTTAATTTTAGTGAATGGCGATGAAGCTACACATCATTACAAAGGTCGTACTGTAACATCAGAAAATGTATAACTTTATGTATTAACTGATTTTATAATTTTTTAATATTTCAGGAGCGTTATGAGAGTGTTCGACATTGTCGTTATGTTGATGAAGTTTATCGAAATTCGCCTTGGTATGTGACTGTGGATTTTTTGAAGAGTATTAAGGTTTTTTAGTTATTTTTTATAAAAATATTTTTAAAGGTTGACTTTATTGCTCATGATTCTGTTCCTTATGTCGCTCCAAACGAAGAGGATCTCTATGAAAAATTTCGTCGCGCTGGAATGTTTGTGGTTTGTTTATTTTATGTTTTAAATTTTTTATGATTTTAGGAAACAGACCGGACAGAAGGTGTTTCGACTAGTGATGTAATCTCTCGAATTATAAGAGATTATGACAAATATATTCGTCGAAATCTTCAACGTGGCTATACTAGGGAGGAATTAAATGTTGGATTCTTTTCGGTTTGTTTTTTTTGAATTAAAAAAATTCTTTTTTCCTAAATTAGGCTCAAAAATATCAACTTCAAAACCAGATTGACCAATGGAAGCAAAAAAGCGTTGAATTCATTAACAATTGGAAGAGTCGTTCAGATGACTTCATTCGTGGTTTTGTTGATAAATTCCATCGTGATGGGCAGCTTAGTCTTGATGTAATATTTGTTTAATTTTTAAATAAATTTCAATAAAATACATGTTGATTTTTTATTTTTATATTCTTCAGGTTCGTCAACTCAAAAGGCTTGTCTCTCGTAGTCCAACTCCAGCAATCGAGGCTGGCCGTACCAAAGATGATAATGACGTCTTCCAAGATGCTCGCGATGTTCTTCCATTAACTTCTTCAGTTTCTGCTTCTACGCTTGTTGGTCGTTCGAAATCTGTTAGTAATATTCTCTCTTCTGGTAATGATGCAAGCACTTCCACTGCAATCTAGACAAAATTATTCAAAATAGTGATATTTATTGCTTCAATGCTTAGGTGAATTTTATAATATATAGACTTTATTTGTCATCTTCTTAAAAAAGAGATGATTTTTCCTAACTTATGACCCTTATAATTATAAAATTTCTCTTTTAATTTTCCCTTTAAATTATAATTATTGAGAATTGTGTTTTTCTCTATAACATTTAATATTGTCTTACATTAGTTTAATTAATAAATTTTCTCTTTTGTTTTCTCTAAATCCTAAGTATTGGGAATTAAGTTTTTCTAGTATATAACTTGTCCCGATACCTAAAGTGTTTAAAAATCATTTTTATTTGTCGGTGTTTTTTATTCCACAATTATACATATTAAAAGTTCAGTTTTTTTATTTGAAATAATTAAAAATATGTTGAATAATTTAATCTGATTTATTAAATTCAACTAAACTTTGTTGATATTTCACAAATTAAGTATGTTTTCTGACTAATTGTCAGTATTAGGATTTTCTAATATATGCTTGTTTCATGTCTTTGACTTTTTGTCCTTTAATTGTTTTTGTTTATAAAAATGTTTTCTTTTAAAATTCCGGACAGCCCTTCTTAAGTTAATTTATTTATTAGACTTAAAAAATTATCAAAATAGATTTACTTATAAATTCTACAAAATATTCATGTGTCCTTGATCATTTTTTATTTTATACCAGTGAGGCTAGATTTTTCGCTCTGCCTTTTAGAATAATTTTTAACATTCACAAACTATTCCTGCTCATTTCTTTTTTAAATATTGTATAAATTATAAGTTTATAGATTAAAGGAAATCATCTTTTCTTTGGGTTTCAAGTTTACTTTGGATTTCGGAACGTCGGAACCACCCGTTGCTCATATAAATTTTGGATACCAAACTTGAAGCCCAAAGAAAAGTTTATTTTTCTGATAACCCGACAATTTCCAGAAAAACGTTTTTCCGTCGACTATTGCAAGTGCATTTCATTAACATTTTTATATACCTTTAACCAAATATCCTGATATTATATTTTAACTTAAAGAATTTTATTTAAAAAATTTTAGTCATTAAAAATTTAAAACGAAAGGAATTTTAAATTCCTCATAGTATTTTAAATTTTAAATTTTATTATTAATTAAAATACTTTTTAAAATTTTTTTTGTTTATTTTTTAAAATGATATTTTCTCTAAAAATGATAATTTCTTTTACGAGTAAATATTTAAAATATTTATAATTAGAGAAAATATATTTATTTGCCTTTTAAAGATTGTGCTTATTTAATTATTGTGATATTTAGATTGAATAAATTTTAAATATTTAAATTTGTTTTCTTTAATTTTATGTTATTATAACATTAAATAAATTATTCTTAAATTAAAAAGAATTTAAAAATATTCTTAAATAAAATTCAGAATTGCTAGGAAGGAATCTGTCACTTTCCAACTAATGACTGCGAAGGATGAGGCTATATTGGATGATGGTAAAACAGCTATAACTACTTCAAACAAAGTGGAGGCAGAAACAACTTTAAACAAAAAGAAAATTGGAGGAAAGGAAAAAGAAGAAATGGCTAAGGTAAAATTAAATTTATAAATTGTTTTCTCACATTTCCTCATGAGTTCTTCAAGTGTTTTGCAAATTGATGCTACAAGAAATTTTCAGATTGTGCTCCGTCGTCTTCCTCCAGGGATGTCAAAAGACGAGCTTTTTGCTCAACTTCAACCCTTTCAATCAGAACCTTGTGCTTTTTGGTTTTGTCCCGCTGATATGGAAATGAAGCCACACGCATTCTCGCGTGCTTATTTAGTTTTTCATGAGGAAAAAGATGTGAGGGAATTATTTAAATTTTAGAGATTTATTTTTATGTTTTAGGCTGTACAATTTTCTGAACGTTTTAATGGCTATGTTTTTGTTGATAAATTAGGTTAATAAATTAACTTAATAAATAATTAGAATTTTTAGGAAATGAATCTATGGCTATTGTTGAATGGGCATTAAATCAATCATTTCCTAGAAGTTTGTTAGAAGATAAAACTTTAACTGCAAAAGAATGTGATACTCGTTGTGGAACTTTAAAGAATGGTATTTTAATTTAAATTTAAAATTTAGAAAAAATCCCATTCATTTTAGAAGCTCAATATCTCAAATTTCTCGATCAATACAATCAGACTTTGAATGCTGGCACCAAAAAAGTTATTGACTTTGATGTACTTGTTCGTCAATTAGAAGAGAAGCAACGTCGACAGGAAGAGGGAATGATACAAGAAACGCCTTTAACTGAATATATTAATAAACTTTCAAATGAAAAGGTTTTGTTTTGGATTTTTAATAAAAAATAATTTTGTTTAGGGACGAAAAAAGCAACAAAAATTGGTTGAACGAATTGAAAAGAAGCAACTTTTAATTGGCAGTTCATTCTCAAATTCACGCGAAACAACACCTGATATTAATTTAAATTCTGATAAAAATATAAAAAAACAAAAATCAGAAAAGAAAAATTTAAAAGAAATTAAAGGAAAAAATGAAATTGTTGGTGAAGTAAAGAAGAGAAGTAAAAATAATGAAGCAACTATTAATGCTGATATAGAAATTGTTGGAGTTGGTAGAGGGAGTCAACAACAGTTGAGGAAAACGGGAAAGGAACGTCGCGAGTCTGGAGGTTTTTTTTAATTTTTTCTAAACCTACATCTCATTCAAATTAAAACTAGCGAAATTATGAAATTAAATTCAAATTAAAAAAATAATTCTAAAAAATATTTTTTAGGGAAAAATAAACTTGATAATCAAAATATTGAAAAGAAGGAAAAAACTAATGAATTGAAAACAAAAGTTGATGAGATGACCAAAAAAGATGTGGAAAAGAAAAATGTTGTCGAAAATCAAAATATTATTTCTAAAAATTATTCAAAACAATTAAAAGAAGATAATTTGGAAACAAAACAAAAAGAGACAAAAACTGAAGAAATTGATGATAAAATAGAAAATCAAGTTCAAAATAAAGAGAAAGAAAAGAAACAATTATCTACTTCAACACGTGTTAGGGCAAAAGTAAATTTTTAATTTATCTAAGAAGGGAGTGGTGGTGAGATATACTATATCGGGATCTTCGGAGTTGTTTCGAAATTTAGATTTGTTGTATTTTGCTTTCGATTTTCTAATATATAATGTATTCGAGATGTAGCCTGAATCAGTCGGGTAACTTTAGAATATTCCGATATGAGCTCCATAGAGTTCACATGAGTTTAGTTCAATTACTATAGTTTAGTTTTTTAGTTCCCCATGAGTTCCCACCTCTATGTGACAATTAAAAATTTCCAAAAAAAAAGTAATTCTAATAATCACGTTTCATCGACCAAATTCTTTTATTATATTATTCTTTTTATTTCCTCCATTTATACTCTTAAATTGCTTTTAATATTATTTTTTTATTAAGGATCGTCCTGAACGTGAAATTTACCTTCCTCCTGGTGGAAAATCTTTATCTTCAAAATCTTCAACATCAAAACAATCTACCAATAAAACAACTGTTGCAGATAAATTTAAGAAACAAAATTGAAAAGAAAAATTTTTTGGGATTAAAAAGAGGATTGTGAAATAATTAAAAAATGAATATACTTGATTTGGAAATGAGTTTTTAAAATGGAAAAGGAGAAAAAGAAATTGACAACATTTTTTAAATTTTTTATTATTTAAACAACAAAATATCTAAAAAAGAAGAACAATATTCTGAGGAGAATAACAACACAAAGGCATTTTTGGAAGGGAAGATAATTTTGGAAAAAGTTAATTTTTATGTTAATTTTGTTGTTTATCGAGAATTTATGGATATACTCTATAAATTGGAAGATTTTTACGAGTTTTGGCTTTGAAAAAATAATATTTAAAAAATAGTGTTGTTGATCAAATCCTTTTGCTATATACATAAATGTATTAAACGAATATTGTTTCCCTTTGAGTGTTCGTTCTCCCAAATGTCACTAATAGGATTAGGATGTCTTCATCTAATTCTACTGAATCGGACCAAGCAATTTGGTAAACTGCAATATACTGCTAAGGAATAGAGTAGACCAGCAAATCGTAGGTCCCGATCCCAGAACGCGAATTCGCTCCGTAGACAGAAGCGAATTCGCTCCTCCTCCTGACAACCCAATAAATTTTATTAAAATGTCACCTTAGGAAAGCTGTTATTTTGGAATTTTATCTATCTTGAATTTCATTGACTTTTTTCTTCATAGTTTCCCGGTTTAAAAAAGCAAGAAGATTGAGCTTCCAAATCCAAACTAGGAAACTGGGAATTCGATTCAAGTTTTCATCTCGGCATCTCAAAAAGACTCGCTACCGATCCTATTTCTTTTATCATTTGGTAAACCACTTACCCCAATCGATAAGATCAGATACATCTATCCTTTACAGCACTGCGCAAGTAAATGCGCGCGCATCTCATTTCAAAATTCATGCCACATGAAATTCTTAATTGACTTTTCTTTTTAATTTTATTTATAAAAAATTATTTTTTTTTAATTTTGTATTTTTTAAAATATTAATTATGGAGATTAATATAGCAAAAAGTCAAAACAATTCTGTTGGCTTTAGAACCCAAAAGATTCTAATTCTAATCGAAACAAAACTCAAATAATAAATACAGTATTTTCTCAATTAATTCCCCTGGGGAATTATTTTTTCACTCGGCATGGGAACATGGGGAATTAATCGAGAGGGGGAATTATTCGAGATCGAGGGAGGGGAATTATTTGAGTTTTGGCATTTGAACGTGCATTAGGGTATTTGGGGGTGGGGAATTATTGTTTCAACCCAACTCTGACATGGGGAATTAATCGAGAGGGGGGAATTAATCGAGAAAATACGGTAAGTTTATCTGTACATTTTATCTGTACATACATACTCCACAAAAGATTAATTCTTATTAACTTAAAAACTACATAAATATTTTAAAAAATATTTTTATGTTTAAAGGATTATAAGAATGAAAATTCTTTTTTTGTTTT